ATAGTCCATTAAACACCATGAACAACCAACGAAACAAGGCATCTCAGAAAGAAAGGAATATTGTATGTAATCCTAAGAAACTGGGGAAATTCTGTATGTTCTATTTATAGTAAAATGAGTAAACAAATTTTAGTACTCTCATTCCATGGAATGTTATATAGATGCTGAGCAGCTAAAAAATAGAAAAGGCCAGTGATCTATGCAGAAATGCTTGTCCTCTTTATAATAAGATATTGACAGACAACATTGCCGAGAAGAAAATTAAATATAGTTCTCAGGAACCAACCATAGCAATGGCAGGGAGTATTTGGGCATTTGTCAACATGTAGCAGACACTGTGCTAAGCTCTTTTAAGATATCTCTACTTCCCACAACCATTTAGTAAAGTAGGAATTATTTTGCAGGTAAGAAAAATGAGAGACAGAAAGTTTAAGTGACTTGCCTGAGGTCACACAGTAGCAGCTAGCAGAAGTGGGGTTTTAAAACCAGGCATCATTCCTTCTATTGAAGTAGAAACTGTTGATTGCCCTGCAACAACCATTCACCACCATTCCTTTCTATCAGAACCCTGATTTTATACTGATATGTCCCTTCCTCTGGGAGAGCAGAGTGAAAGAAAGATGGAACAAGTTTGGCTCCCTGATTGACTCTAGAGCAGTGCAGCCATGCCATACCATTTGGATGTTTTTGCTTCTTCCTATTTTTTCCTTTATTTTAGTTTGGGAAACAACTCTTAGGCTAAGTAGTACTATAATTGTTAAGTTTCTTGAATCAAGAAGGCAAACTTTCCATTTCCTTCCAAACATACATTACAAGTATTATAGAACCCAAATCAAATGGGTATGCCATATGCAACAGGATCTAAAACAGGACTGATCTGTACAGCCTCCAGCGGAGCACCAAGCAAGAGGGCCTGTGAAGGGGCTACACAGGCATTGTGATAGTAGTGCTCCAAGAAGCTTAAGATGTCCAAGAGAGCACTATGGACCAGATCCATGCTTCACCCTGTTCCCTTACTCATTTGCCTTGTGAAGGTCATAGGTCCCTGCCTGACAGAAGCCCAGACAGCTCTGCCCCTCCCACTTTTCCATGCTCAGCACTCCTCCTAGTCCAAAACAGATAATCCCAAAGTGGAAATCCAGGGCCGTGACACTATTACAAGCTAAGAAGTTTCCTGCTCTCAATCTGGATAAGAAGTCCTATTATTGTCAAGGAACTATCATGCCCTCCTCACTGCTTTGCTGCTGACGTTCTTATCACCTGGCCCCTGTGCTTTCAATACCTCTCCCTCTCCCCATTCAGTAATCCATCCTCCTAGCTCTTCTAGTGTCCTCCTGGTGGCAGGTTAGGGAAAAAGGTGTCTGATTGCCCAGGGCTGTGGCTGCCAACACAAAGCTTTCTCTCTTCATATCCTAAGATCTTTCATGCCTTCTCTTTTGTCTTCTGGGAGTTTTCTCAAACCTTCAAAGCTGTGCTCTGACTCTGGCCTTTGGGTGTGGCATGTGGTGGGCTGTGTCTCTGGCATCAGTAAAGGCCTTACACTGTGCACTTCAGAGAGCAGCTTGGATGAAACCTCAGAGGCCTGGAGCTGCAGGAAAAATGAGTTCATGAGGATTGTTTGGTCCCACTTCAGTTTCTGTTCCAATGCGAGAATACACTTTCTCCTTAAAACCTTTCAGATCACATAGGTAGTGTTAACAGACTGATGTTTCTGTCAAAGCCAAAGCCTTAGGTTAATTTCGGAACAGACAGGCCTCTGCTAGTTCCTCGTATAAATGTGGGATCTGCTCCTTGGTCTTCCAGATCAGGATCCTGAGTTGGACACCCGGAGCCTCCATTTCCCTCTGAATTTCTGGAATCAAATTGTCTTTTGTTTTTTGATTTTTTTTTTTTCTTTTTTCCTCTCATTTTAGAGTCCTTGAAGAGAGAACCAATAGGCCAGGTCTGGAAGCAATTTGGGTGGGGGAGGGTGTGTCTTGAGACCCACCCAGCTCTTTAGTCTTTGTTCAGCATAGGCAGTGGAGCCATGGCTGCTCGCTCTGGCTGTTTTGTAGAATTGCAAAACTAGTGAGGAGTGATAAGGAATTAAGGCTACTGTGTGCATGTGACCAGAAGCCACATCAGGCTCCACCATGACTGGCTGCTGTCGCTGGTGTTCTTCGCTTTCTGCAGCTCCTGCCTCTTTAGTTCTCCGTCGAAACTAAGGTTGGCTCCGGGCACCTCATCTGGCCTTGCCACCACTCATAAACCCACGCTGAGTGTCCGACAAACAAGAGCCCCAGAGCACCTCCATAACAACCAGAGGGGGCCCAGTTGCTGCTGCAGCCACAAAGTGCCAGCACCCTATTTGGATTTTTACATGAAAAATAAAGTTCTATTTTGTTCAAGCTACTGTTGTTTTGTCTCTACGGCTAAATAAAAAGTTCTAGTATTGTATATTAGAAAGTAGCTAAGAGAGTAGACCTCGAAAGTTCTCACAAGAAGAAAAAATTGTATCTCTGTGAGGTGATGGATATTAACCAAAATTTTTGTGGTAATCATTGTGCAAGATATACATTTTGCAAACTATTATGTTGTACACCTTAAACTTATACAATGTTATTTGTCAATTATATCTCAATGAAATGGAGAGGGGGAGGTAGTTCTGGCAAGCCTAGAAAGAAGCAGAAGAAATATGTGCGAGGTGCTGGCAGCTTAGCAGCTCTCCTGGGAGCCAAAAGGAAAGGCCCCAGGTGCTTTCTCTCCACATCAGTTTGGTGTAGAGCATTTCCCTGCTCCTCTAGACCTATCTGCTCTATGGCCTTCCCACAATTCAGCTTCCTCTGCTTTCCCCAAAACTTCACCTTGGAAATATATTTATTTGGCCCTATCTGACCTTCAGCCCTTTATGAACTTGCAGATCCACAACCAAAAATAGCTAATATGGACCTCCCGAGAAGATTCATTTGATGCGAACCCTAAGAAAAAATTTATCTACTGAAATGGACACCCCATGATCAATCAAGGGCCCAAATTTTATAAACAATAATAGCCTCGCAACCATTTGCTGACAGGGGTTTCTCATATACTCTATATAGAAGAACCTCAGACTGAACTCGGCTTCCTTCACTATGCCCTGTGCCCTGCTTTTTTTTTTTTTTTTTTAACCTGTGCCCTGCTCTTTACAGCATCTGAGTCGACTGTTATAAGGAAGCCCCTGGTTTTCTCTTTCCACCAAACTAAAACTTGCCCTGTCCAGTCAGAACTGCTTCATAACAACCAATCAAGAGGCATAATGCCAACCCGTAGGGACCAGTGATCCTGACCATTCAGAAGTGTATGAATTTGGGTACCTCATTTACATCAAATAAATTTAATTGGGAACCTGGGCAGGAACTTTTGCTATAAAAAGCAGCCTTCCCTTTGTCTGGTGGAACACAATTTAGCTTGCTACCTTAATCTGTATCTCCCAGGCTGCAGCTCCTTTTGCTCTAATAAATGCTTTTTATTCTTTATTACAGTCTAAAATTAATTTTGGTTTACACTACAGACTCTTGACTCTTGGTTCAAATTCTCAGTAAAGAGAAATGGTCTCTGGCCAGTGGATTCACCACTGTTGAGTTAGGTGCTATTTCAGTCACTTCTGGGATAGAAGAGAAACCTGCCCAGTTGGGGCCATGAGAGGGAGCAGTTTCTCTGGGAATTGACCGACATGTCTTTCTGAGAAGAGAGAAGGTACAGGCAACTCTGGGGAAGACAGCTTCATGATGCCACGGAAATCTCATTGGCTCCTTGGTTTTCTTCTTCTCCGTAATAGCCCAAATCTCTTCCTGTGGGAACATCTCCTTTGGAAAGGAAGCTATGGTCAGGTGGGCTGGGCAGGGTGAGCTAGGGGAGGGTTGATGGCGAGGTTAGGTAAGTGCTGGTAAAGAGAGGCTGGGGGAATGAAGCCTAATGCCCAAGATCAAAGCTAAGGAAATAAAGTTTCACTGCCAAGTCCAAAGGTCAGGGACAGAGTGGAAAATTGGACACAGAGCCAAGGTCAAGAGCCAGCAGAATTGGAAAAATGGAAACAGGCCAGGGAACAAGACCAGACTTGGCATGGTGGTTGTGGAGATTGGGTTGGCAGTAAGCCTAGCTTCACTGATTCTCAACCCAGGCTCACACACAAGAGTCGCAAGAAGGACGACAATGCCTGTCGGGTTTAAGCCATATCACCAAGAGAGAAGAGGAGAAACCAGGTCCGGCCCTCCCTATGTTGTACACAAGATTGTGCGAATCTGTCCTTTTTCTTTTTTTCTTTTTCTTTTTTTTTTTTTTTTTTTTTTTTTTGAGATTGTTAAAGGGAACAGCGCCCCCAAATGGATTATTTTAAGGTTTGAATCTGGTCATCGGGCAAGGACGATCACTGCGGGCTCTCCTCAGCTTTGGCGCAGGCCACGAGCGGTTGATGGTCCTGGCCAACCTCCAAAGAGCAGAGTCCCCCTGCTCCGTGTACCCCAGGGTTCCGCTGCAGCAAGGCTGCTGTCTGAGCCGATTCCTCCGGGAATTGCGGAGCCCCGGGCCTGAAACAGGATGAGCTTAGAAAACGATGGAGGATGCACACGGGGGGCGGGAGGGGGATGGATTAAAAGGGAGGGAGTATGCTTCATGCCCCTCCGAGAAACTGCAGGCACAGCTCAAAATGGGGACGAAGATTAACCGACTTGCCCAAAGATTAACATAAGGTTTGCTCACTTCTTCATAATCCGTCTGTTTCGTCTTACTGGGAAAACAAAGGTATCCTCGTCCCTCTATCTTAGGGTACGATTGGAGTTCCGGGAAGGGGTGCAACGCCGGGACCCGCACTATAGTCTTTGTCCAAACTACCACAGGCCCGCCGAACCGCGCCTCCAAGCGCCCTCATTTGGACGGAAGAAGAGGGCTCCCCAGGCTCCCCAGGCTCCCCGCCCCTCCTGCGTCTGTCGCCCAGTAGCTTTGGGGGCCCGTGGCGCGCGGGCGTGACGTGACGCGCATGTAGACGTCGCTGCGCGCTGAGCCCGGAAGAGGCGCGGGCCGGGAAGGTGGGCGGCGACGTTGCCGCGTCCCGGTCCCCATGGCTCTGTGGCGCGGCTCTGCCTACGCCGGCTTCCTGGCGCTGGCGGTGGGCTGCCTCTTCTTGCTGGAGCCGCAGCTGCCCAGCTCGGCGCTGCGCTCGCTGTGGAACTCGCTGCAGCTGGGGCCCGCGCCCCCGGGATCCGGCTCTCCTGAGGGCCGGTTGGCGGCCGCCTGGGACGCACTCATTGTGCGGCCAGCCCGGCGCTGGCGCCGCGTGGCCGTGGGGTGAGTGCCTGCGGGGCCTGCATCTCTGGGCCTCTTTGGCAGTGCGGGCGCTGCGGGCCTCAGAGGACCGCTTTGGTGGAGGTCGAGCGTCTTGGGAGGTGGAAAGTTAGAACCTGCGCGGAAACAGGGGATCCAGAGGTCCCCAGCAGGCCCCTCGGCGCGGATGTCCACGCTGTCTCCTTGGCGAGAAGCCTCGGACGTCTGGAACGAGCCTAGTCGGTCACTGCTGCAGGGACTCAGACTGCTTTTCTTCTCGGTTTGCCCCTGCGCCCTTCTCTCATCTCCAGAGTTCCAGCCTAATAGCCTCTTGAAAATCCCGCTCAACCTGACACCGTCACGTTCGAAACTCTCATTCCCTTTTCAGCTTCTGCCCCTTTGGCGACTGCTCTTTTGCAGTCTAAGTGCTTAGTTTTACCCACTTTGACGACACTCTTCTACCTCTTGCTTCTGAATTTGAAGGAGTGGATTGGGTCGCTCCTTTTAGTTACCGACTTTCCGCCCTGTTTCCTCTTCTTGAACGCCACTCCTCTGAAACTCGTCTCTCACAGCTCACTGATGACTTGTTGATTTTCAAAGTCAGGTACCATTTTTTAGTCTTCATTATCAGCTCTGCAGCCTTCCACGCGTTATGCATGACCTCCTTGGAACGCTCTTCTTCTCGACTTTAGGGACATTGCGTATAAAGGGTTCTCCCAAATCACAGTGCCTCCTTCGTATTCTTCTTGGGAAATGTAATTATTTCCTTTACACTAATTTTAGTCCCTGTCTCAGTTTGCCGGAAAGGTAAAGTAGAGCAAAGTTATCCCGAAGATTAAATGAAATCATCTATGTAATTTAGCGTGTTGTCTGCTTTAAAAAGCACTCAAATATTAGCTAGCATTTTTTATATCAGCACATTTATTGTTTCTTCAGATGTATCTCCTTTTACATCTTTTTTCAAGTTTAGGCCCTTTCACTCACTTCGTTATCAGCTTAATTGGCCTCTCTGGCCTTATGCACATTCATGCAAATGTTCATCAGCTACATGGTATGTGTCAAGTCCAAACTAGATTCTGAGGATACAAAGATAGGTGAAGCAAGGTCCCTGCCTCATTTGTTGGAAACACATATTCATTATTGTGTTAGTGGGCTCAGGCTACCAAACAGAATACCCCAGACTGAGTGGCTTAAACAGAAATTTATTTTCTCACAGTTGTAGAGATTGATAGGCCGAGGTTGGTTTCTGGTGAGTCCTGTCTTCCTGACTCATGTGGTC